TATGGCATAACTCCGCCTCCGCCATATTTTTATTACCTCATATATCGATGACTCTGCTCTAGCAAACCAAACCTTCCCCTTCTTCTTTGACAATCTTTCAACTATGTCTCCCTCCTCCACAACCTCATTTTTTTTTTAAGTCTTAACAAATATTCCTTTCTTCCTTCACAATCCATTAGATTCCTGGGTTTTACGATTGATTCTCACTAAAAAAGAATCAGGGTTCCAGAAGATAAGACATAAAAAATTCAAACCCTCATCGCTCACAAGTGCGTTAACCCCACGATCAACCCGAAACAAATAACCAAATCGCAAATCCACCCCCAGGCTCTCATACACAATTATCAGCTCTGGCAGAATGCGCAAAAAAGTCTCTTCGCCTTCCTCAGCCTTCTTTAACCTTATGAGAAATCGACCTCCATAGAGATCTGTCTTAGTATATCCTGGTCGTACAAGGCAATTCCCAATATCAATCTCTTTATATTGCAACCGCAAACCTTCCCCGCATCGCTACCAGCTCTCCCACAAATATAAGAACATAGCGGCATCTCGATAAGTCTCCGCCTCTCTCATCCTTATTAGCACCTTTATCTTGCATCATGTATATTCGATCACAACCTTCAGTTTTTCCCAAACCACCGGTCGCGCTGACTCCTCCGTAACCCCTCTCGCCAACCCATACTCTCTGTACGCTTTCCGAAACGCCTTTACCCGACTACCCTGGCAAGGATCATCCCCTTCCTCCCTACCAAGCAATCTAAAGGCACCACTTAAGCAATTCACCACCACATCTACAGTGGATGGTGACACTATTGGTTCGCAATCGCTATCGGTAGTTCGGCACCTGCTCTCAATTTCCACTAACCATTGGCTACTTAGGAAGGAAAGAACATCCAAATCATTGCATGTCATACAACTCCTGCGCACTCCATTTCATTTTAACCACTCATTCAATCCAAACAGTAATTTCTTCATTCCATTTCGCCATCGCTTTCTTGGTCTAACTCCTCTATTAGCTTGCTACTCCATTCTAGCCCCGTTTGATAACTTCCAGCTATTTCCGACGTCGCTCGCTTTTGCCTCCAGCTTCCATCACTCATTCGCTCGTTCCACCACTCCCTGCAAGATGACACGTCATTTGTGGGATGATGGAGGGATTTTGGGAGGTCTAGGAGGTGTGTGGGCCTGCGGCCCCGACTCTATGACTCACTTCTGAGCAATCTGGCATCATCAAGGCTCTGTGTTTTTCCTGTTTTATCTCGTCTGGACCCATGCAGCTGTTGTCGTACTCCAGCCCATGCAGTTGGTACCTACTCGGTGGGTTCCGATTCGAAGTCGAGCCTACTTTTCTAAATGATTTGATTTCTTTAATTTTCAAGATCTACGGTTGCGAGCTGGTGGAACCAAGATCGGCGAAGGAGGTTTCAGCGGAACTCACCCTGCGGGAAGGAGCCCCTCGGAGGACCGGCAACCACTGGTACCAGGAGCAGCGAGTGTATAAGTGACCGGCACAGGACCGGTCGTAGCAGGCTGGTTTGTCTCACGCGGAGCGGCTTCGGGATTTCGTCCGCCAGCAGCTGCGCCCATCGCATAAGCGAACCTGCAGTCACACCACAGGCACCAGTCTGCTCAGAGGCCGAGACGTTTTCGTCGCCAGATTTTGGCGAAGCGGACCCGCCCACCCTCGATTTTCCCGCGGTGTGTGGGCCTGCAGCCCCAACTCTATGACTCACTTCTGAGCAATCTGGCATCATCAAGGCTCTGTGTTTTTCCTATTTTATCTCCTCCGGACCCATGCAAGAAACTGCGTCTCCGGCAGAAAGCACCGAAAAAATAGAGCACCGTGGAAATTGGAATTTCCGTGTCCCATTCTCATTTTGCACATTTGGTGAGTAGCGGAGAGTGTTAGGGCACGCTCTTTCTTTTTTTTTTTTTAAAACAGGGCCCAGTGCCCAAGGCTTCTCATTAATCAGGACAAATACCTGAGGCCGGGGTCCTCACAGTCTGCCCGGAAACAAAATAAAATCTGGGAGCCTTACCCAGTTTCGCTTTTTACGAGACCCCAAGGGACCCGAGAAACCACACACGAACTTGATCCTCAGCTAGTTCCTATGAAAGGACCTAATGCGGTCCGACTGCAAATCTACCACTACCACTATTTATCCCTGATGGTAACAGACAACCCCAGGGGGTTCAAACTCTCATCCCACGTCTTTCAGCAACCACGAGGGAAACTGAAAAGCACCATTGGGTTTAAACAGGACCAACTGAGCATTCAAATTCCAAGTTTTCGAGAACCACCCCACTGATCTTACACTAGTTTTCTTTTGGGATCGTCTCCGCCAGTCTGCTATGATGGTATGTCGAATTTCCGCCTTTACTTTATTGATTATGGCTCTCAGCGAAAGATGGGAGTTTCTAAACACCTGTTCATAACGGTCAGCCCAGATGACCCCGTAAATGATACCTCTGATGACCTGAGCCACATACCCCCAACCCACTGTCGCAGACAGCCCCGCCGGTAGGATTCCTTGCAGAACCCAATTTTCGTTCCATGGAAAAATGTCTTTTGTGATCTGCTTCCACCATCGTTCCCACCAGGTCCACACTCTCCGCGATAGGGGGCAGGCATGCCATAAATGATTTGTGGTTTCCCAGGCCCAGTTACACTGACACCCTCTTTCTGGATGTAGCAGTCGGTGTGAGTGCCCTCACAGGAGGACTTTCCTGGATGAGCTGAGCTGGGCTGGGCCGCAATTACGGTCAGTCTCTTCGACAGTGTTCCCTGAGTGAGCTCTTGTCTGTGCCCTGGTTCAGGGGTAGTCAACTCATCACATCCAAACGACAGCAGGCACAGGGTCCCTTCTGTCGGCTTGTCATTGTGAGCTCCCGTTTTTTTCTTTTTCTTTTTCTTTTTTTTCTTAATTTTCCTTTTTTTATTCTTTTCTTCTGAGCTCCCGTTTTCAGCCACGCGACCTTGCGACCTCTCCGATGTGTTTGCCAGCAAGGTAGACGCCCTAATGCCATCTGGCCCAGGGCAAGGACAAGATCGAGGTATAGACGGAAGACCATGCGCTATTTCCGTACATATTTCTCCACCCCAAGACGGAGTAGACTGCTTGAACCCGCGTTGTAATTCGCTGCCTCCCGTACCAAAAACGGAATATGAATCGGTTATTTGGAGCTGTGGAGTCCCCTTGAACAGAAATGAACAGTCGAAGGGGTCGTTCCCCTTCGACGAGGCGGGAAAGAAGAGGGGAAAAAAAAAGGGGAAAAAAAAGGGGAAAAAAGAGAGCCGAAGACTTTCGTCCGTTCCGCGGTCGTCTCACAGCGCTGGGCTTGGCCTTGCCGGCGCCGTCTCACAGGCGACTTGCCGGCCCCAGAAAGCAACCGCCGGGGTCTGATGAGTGGCCAAATCCGCTGACAGCAGTGACGGGGAGCGGGGTCGATTCGAATTCGAATCTCCGACATACAGCGCAGTGCGCGGGAACGCCCCGAAAATCTCAGCGAAAACCGTCCGTTAAGCGCCAAAAAGAAAAAAACTGGCGCCGTGCGGCAGAGCGAGGATCCGCCGAGTGCGGGCGATTTCACCTGTCTCCTGGGGTCCGCGGGTGTTGTCTGGTCGGATATGCCCGCTTGCGCGTGAGAGTGTTAAGAAACGGTAGTCCCCGTCTTGGCTTATTATGATTACTTGCCTGTCAATCAACTACTATATAGGCTGCTCGCCGGACGAAGGGTAGAATGCCGTACCACTCGTTGTAGGCTTCAGGCCGAAAGAGGAGAGTGTATATAGATGAAGATCGCGTTGATGATGAGACTTTGCCAAAGCGGACTTGTATAGATTGATGGTCCGTCAATCGAATGAACAGGCGACTGTGTGATTGATTGATGGACTTCTGATCCATCCGTTACTTATATTCATTGAGTTGACTGTGGGATCGGTGTTTTGCTTGGTTGATTGGTTGATAAAATGGTCAATCGATTGACCTTAACGTTGTTGGAGTTTTGTTCACAGTCCATGCTGGATAGATATCAGCGAAGGAGAGTGGGAGGTTGGTGTCGGTGTAGACTGGGGGGAAAGCTGTTGCTTCATCTGGTGACCCAGTCGGGCTTCGTCTGTAGAACAGCCGTCACTGTTTTTCATAAATCCGAACATGGAGCAGACGAGAAGGGCAGTGTGATGGTCGCCTACCGAGACGCTGAGGACGAGAGATCGGACGAAGGTAGGAAGTCGGCGAATGTGCAACATCTTCTTGCAGTATAGACGGTGGTCGCAGAATATGCATTGCCCGAGAATAGTGTGCACTGTTTTCCTTGTACGAGATATGGGCCATGGGCGAGCTACGGAATCTTGAGCGATGACATGCTCTCTGCAACATGCCTGAAGTCTTGAAGGGAGGTAATCGAAATGATGTGCAGTGCTTGTCTCGCGCCATGTATCCATCATGGACCAAATGCCGAAACCTTGAACAAGAGAGAGTACCTTCGTGTGCAGCAGGTCTTGTTGAGGGAGTAGAATATAGGGATCATGTCTGGAGAACGATAGACAGAGAATGAGGCGTGCAGGCGAGTGTGACATCCCAACCTCGGAGTAGAGGATAGAAAGCGTTCGGGTTTAGTGCAGTGCCACGTGTCGTCAACTTCAAGAAGATGAAATCGTGGGGGATGAAGGCAATGGTGAAGAGCTGCCGACTGTGGTGTGTGCTTTTTAACACCGAGCGTTGAGAAGTTGGATGACATGCGGAATGATCAAGAGAGAGAGAGTGAGAGAGAGGATTGATGGGAGTCCGATGGCTCGCGCATTGAGCAGGTGCATGGCATGTGGATTGGTCGATTGCGACAATGCCCTGTACCGTAGGATAGGGAAGGTAAATGTGGTGAGGACGAATCCATGATAGTCCGAGTAGGCCGCGAATCTGCAGAGTAACTGCGGAGAGGGAAGCGGAGACAGGTTGAGGAAGTGGTGAGGCGAGTGGAAACGCGGTGCCGCTATTGTGACGTCGGAGTGGAGTTGGGAGGGAGGCTGATAGACTGACTTTGTGAGGAAAGAGAATTTCCGAGAGACGCCATGGAAAACTCTGTGCTGTACATGACGAGCAACTTGCTGGAGAAAATCACGGCCGGTCGGGATCCCAAGGAAGTGACTACACTGGCTATCCGCAACGCAGATGGCAGAAGGGGAAGGATTAAGGTTTCTGGCCGTCTCGCCGTACTTGTATATCTGTCTGTGATGTCCAATCTCTTCTTGTTCTCGGGTGCTGGGCGCTTTTACACCGTAGCACCTCGTGCTTGTGAGCTTGTGGGGTAACGAAACAGAAGGAATTGTGTGTGCGTGTGTGCGCGCGCGTAAGCGTGTGCGGCAAGATGGAACGTACATCTCTTGTTGTCAGTCATGCAAAAAGAATGATATGTGTCTGCGTTATGAAATGGACAATACGATCTGTGTACGTGATGAAGGAGAGAAAGAGAGAGCGCTTGCTTGTGTACACAATGTGTGTTTGTGTGTGTGTGTTTGTTTGTGTGTGTGTTTGTGTTTGTGTGTGTGTGTGTGTGTGTGTG